AGTCGCTTGATGTGTAAAACAAGTCCAGGCGATCCCTAGATTTCCTCAAGTTTGGCTGGGAAACACAGTTGGCATCCGGGGCCCCTATACCAATAATCACAGTGACAATAGCCCATGGTCTGTGGACAGGAGGCTGGCCTTCAGACCTCTCCAAAAGTCCGTGGCAGAGGAACTTCCATCACATAGCACATGGACAGTAGCACGGGAGCCTCCATCACATTGCACCTTGTATTATCTCAACTTATTCCGCTGCGCTTTATAATATTATTTAAGTCAGAAATTTAACAATAAGAGAGACAATTTCAAAATGATACACGAACAATAGGTAGATGAGGATCCTGCTCAGACAATACATTCTAGAGGGGGTGGGGTACAAAAACACAATAGGGAGGGCATTAAGGGAGACAATAAACTAACAAGGTGGGAGACTAACAGATCTGGAGGTGAGAGTGGAGTGTGACTCTGTAGGAGAGAGCCAGAGACACATTTGTGACATAGAAGTTACTCTGTGAGGCCTTATGCATTTTGAAACAGCTGGGGTTTGAGGAATTTCTTAACTGATTAAAGACTAGTAGAGAGTCTGATGGGGGTAGGCAGGCTGTTCCACAGGAAAGGAGTTGCCCGTGAAAAGTCCTTTCAAGTGCGTGTTAACAGTAAGGGTGTGAGGAGCGGACAGAGGTGGTCACCGGCAGAGTGGAGAGACCGAGCAGAGACACATGTATGAATCAGTGAGAGTTGTTTAGAGCTTTATAGATAAGGGTTAGTATTTTGAATTGACACCTATAGGATACAGGAAGCCAGTGTAAAGACTTACAAGGGGCAAGGTATAGGTGCGGCAACAGGAGAGAAAGATCAGCATAACAGGAGCATTTATTACGTATTGTAGGGTGGCAGTATGGCTTCTGGGGAAACCAATTAGGAGAGACTTACAGTAACCCAAGCGAGAAATTACCAGAGTATGAACAAGCTCCTTGGCAGCATCTTGTGTAAGAAAGCAATGTTTTTAAGGTGAAATCGACAGGTTTTAGCAACATGCTGGATATGAGGCACAAAAGTTAAGCCATGATCAAAGAAAACACCAAGACAGTGAGCTTGCAAGGACGGGCTGATGCAGATACCATCAACTTGCAGTGAAGGTGAAAGAGGAGGATCAGAATTATGAGGAGGAAAAATAAGAAGCTCTATTTTAGAGAGATTGAGTTTCAGAAAGCGGGAGGACATTCAGTCAGAGATTGGAGAATGGCAAGCAGTGACATGTCGTAGGACAGCGGGGGAGAGATTAGGGGAGGAGAGATAGGTGGTGTCATGCCAAAAGCATGAGTTGGTGTTTGATGTGTGTTTATATATGTTAAGAGTTGTTTTTTTGTAAACCTTGGGATGACATTTATTGTGGTCTTTGATCTTGCACCAGGCCTAGACCATAAAACATCTAGATAGCCATCACCAGAGCTGGACACAAGGAATTGCATAGAGTGGGCAATAGACTGCCAGACCAACCCCCTCTGATCCCCCCCAGGGGTCTGCCCACTGAGAAACAACTAGTTTAGATATATGAGGGTGTTGGACTATCCAGGGAAGTCAGTTATTCATTTTTCTTTTGTCAGTAACTTCTAGGAGACCTATACCATCTAACACTCCCACAAGAATTCTATATGGGGTAAATATACAGGGCCGGTGCTTGGATTTTTAGGTACATAGGCGAAGATGCATTTTTCCGCCCCCCCCCCAAAATCTTCACCTATGTGCCTCTTAACCAGCCCCTCTCCCCTCCCCGACCATTAGTGGTCCCTTCCGTTCCCTGTCCCTTAGTGTTCTTCTCCCCTTTCCCCCTCCCCCCTTTTTTCCCTGTCTCTTGGTGTTTCTCTCCCATTCCCTCCCTGTCCCTTGGTGCACCCCCCACCCCTTTAGTGGTCACACTTCCTGGTGTGTGCCTCCTACCTCTATTATTGCATTGCCGAGCGGAGCAGATCCCCTAAAGGAACTTCAGTTTTCTGTACCCGGACGGACTGACAGGGAGTGCTCTCTCTGTGAGCACCTCCTGTCAGTCTGGCCAGGTACAGGAAACAGAAGCTCCTGTACCGCGCTCTGCTCCACTACACTCTGTACACACTGACAGTCACACACTCAATGACAAACACACAGACGTCACTGACAGACACAGACTCATTTATCTGACACACACTCATTCATTGACACTGACAGACCCACACTGATTGACACTCATTGACAGACACACTGATAGTCACACACAGACTCAATGACAAACATACTCTGACTGATTTGACAGACACACACTCATACACTGACAAACACACTCATCATACACTGACAGACACACTCATACACTCACATGCACACACACTCATACAATCACTCACAGACACACAGACAGTCACTCACTCACAAACGCACACAGTCACTCACAGACACACACCGAAGCACACAGTCACTCACAGACACACACACACACACACACACTGTCACTCACAGACACACGCTCAGTCACTCAGACACACACACTCATACAATCACTCACTCACACACACACACTCACTCAGACACACATGCTGTCACTCACAGACACACATGCTGTCACTC